TCTAATTGTGTTTGAGTTCATTTTGTAAGATTCCCCTGTGATGACCTGGGACCGGAGATGTCAGCTGATGGCCTGGATAGGCGGTCAAAAGTCACAGCTCATGCAGAGGATGAGTTTTACTATGTTTTCACAATTATGTTTTAATTAGAAGTGTCACAAGTTTGAGTCACCATACCTACATACCTTGCTTATAATCAAGTCACATTGGTTTACACCTTAAAAGGTGTAAAAGGAGGGATATGTTAGGGTGATTTTTATTTTACGCACTTATGAATGGTTTTAGTTTTATTTTATAGCACACATAAGTATACATACTTACATGTCACAGATATGTTTATGTAGTTACTTTTCACCCAATTATATGTTCACTAAATTAAGGGGAAAATAAGTTTCTGTAGGAGACACTGAAAACTTGTGTGATATTGCAGGCTCTTGTGATTAAAAGTCTAGTGCACTAAGTGGCTTTCCAGGGTCTAATCATCCCACAGGCTTTCATTAGATTTGTTGCCTTTTCTAAAAGAGCTCATTATTCCCTCTGAGCCTTGAAGCCAGGGGAGTTGGGGTTTGATAAGATACTAAGATTTACACCAAGGTTATGGTCAGATGTTGGTCTAGAAGAAACAGCTGCCAAGTAAAATAACTGATTTCATGCACACACAGGCAGTCCCAGGTATTCCTCCTCCTCTAGAATGTTTGTGTGTGTGTGTCAAAGCACAGAGACTTAGATAACAGGAAAACAAGTCCAGGTGCAGTCTCAGGGTTGCTGAGATGACTGTTTGCAAGAAGCGTTGTGGGTTGTGCAAAGTGTCTGTTTCAGGACAAGGTCGCACCAAGGACAAGACCGGACAAGGACTGGGGGACCAATGACGGGAGAGTTAAGTCTAAACCACAGCTTCTCCCAGTTTTTGACCAATCAGATAGTAGCACCTTTTCATACAAATATTGTATACCGACAAGTTGAGGACAGTCTTTTCTGTTTATCCTAAACAGTGAAGATCCATGTGCACATGCTAATTTTGATACGTTAATGCATAATACATTTCACTGTGAAATATATATCCTAAAATGACCTCTTCACATAGGACAAACCCACTGATTAGCAGCATAGTTTCCAGTTTTATTTTCCTGTGCTGATGCGCCTTAAGACCCGTAGCACTTAATGTACTACCTAAGCAAATATCTCCTCCCTTAGTAATATTACAAAGTGTTCAACTAAATACCAGGGTCAATACCACTCCTACATGTTGTTTTATACCCATGCCAATTAAGCAGTTTGTTAGCAGTACTGATCAAGGAGATATTTGCTTAGATAGTACTACACACCAGTGTCAATACCACACCTATATGTTGTTTTATACCTGCCTTTGTTAACATTATCGATCAAAGGATATGCTGTGAGAACCTCTTCCACCGCTGCTGAGCAGTTTGTTTTCTGCACCTGCATGTATTTTCAGCCTAATGTAAAGTATGTTGCCATGTTTATTTAACCACAGTTAGGCCGAGGAAATGTTGGATCATGCATTACATTATATCACTGTTTAGCATTTATTTAGGTTTGGATGACTTAATTGGTTTACTTTTGTGAGTAGCTAAAACTCCTGGTTTCAGCAGCTGTGGGTAGCTATCATTCTTCAAAACGTACATGTGATGGGTATTTAATTGGTCAACGTCAGTATCTTTAGGTGTGTTCAAGGAGTAGTTCAGCATTCTGGCAAACACACTTCACTTTCTTGTCAAAAATTTCATATATTAGAATATTGATACCACTTTGATACCGGCTCTGTCTGGAAATAAATCCTTTTCCCAGCATCTCTGAGGCTAACTAACACATTAGATGAGTAAATATAATAAGCTGCAATTTTATAGCCAAACATGCACCAGGCCAGTTGGCATAAGTAGTGGGGGGAGAAGCATACAGTGACACAAGAGTTAAATACTGAAGTAAAATCAAGTACCATAGAGAGAGGACATGAAAGCATGAATGTGTCTGAATTTTAGAAACAGTAAAATACTCAAGTAGTTGGTGGAAAGTGCTTTATGTATAGAGGCTGCTTGTGTCACCTTTAGTTTGTTGCAATAGATGAAATTAGTTTGAATACAAAGATGTACTGCTACATAGCTAGTACTTACTGTCTGAGGAGGAGAATTTACTGTCAAAGCCTGTACGGGTTCATTACTGTAATGACAGATACTTGGTCTGAAAGCTTTGTCATGTGTGCAAGTGCAAAAAGCTGAAAGCTGTTACCACATAAAAAAAAAAATCGAGTTTCTCCAGGAGAAATATAGGGAAATCGGGTTTCTCACGTCATCTATTATAAATACAGGTTTCTCATGGCATTAAAGAAGAAATTACTGCAGAAAACTGACTAAAATGGTTATTACAATGCATGCAAACACATATTTAAATTCCTTAAAATATTTTCTCATTTAGGATTTTGCAGTCAAAACATTTACAAAGGGAGGAATAACACACTTAACTGATGACGATGGTGTCCAGGGGCTGGTCTGCAGGTTCATAAACAAATAGTGAACCAATCAGAGAGCTCGGTGGGAGGTTTTTCAGTGGCTACAGGGGCCTTTATGAAGGTAAGGTCATTGGTGTCTCTACCTTCATCTTCACTTAGACAACGAGAAGTTTACAGTAAGTTTTACACTAAACACCAGAGTCAATACCACTCCTACATGTTGTTTTATACCCGCCTTTGTTAACATTATTGACCAAGGAGATATTTGCTTAGGTAATACTAAACACCAGAGTCAATACCACTCCTACATGTTGTTTTATACCCATGCCAGTCGAGCAGTTTGTTAGCAGTACTGATCAAGGAGATATTTTCTTAGATAGTACTACACACCAGGGTCAATACCACTCCTACATGTTGTTTTATACCCGCCTTTGTTAACATTATTGATCAAGGGGATATGCTGTGAGAACCTCTTCCACCGCTGCTGAGCACAGTTTGTTTTCTGCACCTGCATGTATTTTTTAGCCTAATGTAAAGTATGTTGCCATGTTTATTTAACCACAGTTAGACCGAGGAAATGTTGGAACATCATGCATTACATTATATCGCTGTTTAGCATTTATTTAGGTTTGGATGACTTAATTGGTTTACTTTTGTGAGTAGCTAAAACTCCTGGTTTCAGCAGCTGTGGGTAGCTAACATTCTTCAAAACGTACATGTGATGGGTATTTAATTGGTCAACGTCAGTACCTTTGGGAGTGTTCAAGGAGTAGTTCAGCAATCTGGCAAACACACTTCTTCACTTTCTTGTCAAAAGTTTCATATATTAGAATATCGATAACACTTTGATACCGGCTCTGTCTGGAACTAAATCCTTTTCCCAGCATCTCTGAAGCTAACTAACACATTAGATGAGTAAATATAATAAGCTGCAATTTTATAGCCAAACATGCACCAGGCCAGTTGGCATAAGTAGTGGGGGGAGAAGCATACAGTGACACAAAAGTTAAATACTGAAGTAAAATCAAGTACCATAGAGAGAGGACATGAAAGCATGAATGTGTCTGAATTTTAGAAACAGTAAAATACTCAAGTAGTTGGTGGAAAGTGCTTTATGTATAGAGGCTGCTTGTGTCACCTTTAGTTTGTTGCAATAGATGAAATTAGTTTGAATACAAAGATGTACTGCTACATAGCTAGTACTTACTGTCTGAGGAGGAGAATTTACTGTCAAAGCCTGTACGGGTTCATTACTGTAATGACAGATACTTGGTCTGAAAGCTTTGTCATGTGTGCAAGTGCAAAAAGCTGAAAGCTGTTACCACATAAAGAAATTTACTTTCTCCAGGAGAAATATAGGGAAATCAGGTTTCTCACGTCATCTACTATGATTACAGGTTTCTCATGGCATTAAAGAAGAAATTACTGCAGAAAACTGACTAAAATGGTTATTACAATGCATGCAAACACATATTTAAATTCCTTAAAATATTTTCTCATTTAGGATTTTGCAGTCAAAACATTTACAAAGGGAGGAATAACACACTTAACTGATGACGATGGTGTCCAGGGGCTGGTCTGCAGGTTCATAAACAAATAGTGAACCAATCAGAGAGCTCGGTGGGAGGTTTTTCAGTGGCTACAGGGGGCTTTATGAAGGGAAGGAGATTCG